GGGAAGCAAAAAATCCAATCAATTTACAAGTCAGTTTATCCATGTACATGTACATTAAATTCAAATTACCAAGTCTGCCTCTATATATAAGGTCGTAGCCCCCTTCAATTTTATATAAAACAACACCAAAAATTAACAAAAAAAAAAAATTTAAAAACAATTACACAGAAAATAAGATGGCCCCAAAATCCCAATGGATTACGATAATCGTTACGGTGTTAATACATTTGGTTATTTCCGACAAAATTTTTCAAGTGTCCGGGGTGAGCCATGCCCCACTCTCGGGAACTAGTGCGCAAGCGATTTACTACGGGAAGTTTGCAGTGACGGAACACAACAGACAGAAAGGGACACGTATGGTATTCGAGAAAGTGACGGAAGGAGCGACGAAATTGGATGGTGAAGCTTTCACCGTAATAATTTCAATCAAAGCTAAAAACGATGCGCGCTTGTATAGAGCCGAATTGTTTAGGGCAAGCTCAAAATCGCATCTCAGGCTCCAGCATTTTGTAACAGTCGGATCTTTTTGAGGCGGGATTGTAATAATGATCTATTTGTCTCGAATTAGCAACGAGACATAAAACTCGTGCTTTTTCTAGAGTAAAAAATAAATAAATAAATATATTTCATTTTTTCCACCTTGATGTGTTATTTGGATTCACTATTTTTTTTTTTTGACTGATTAAATTAAAGAAAAGAAAAATAAGAAAAGGTGAAGATAAGAATGTTTTAACTAAGACTTAATCTATCTTATTACATAATTCTATCTTCACTTAATTAAAACTTTATCTCAAATCAAAAAAGGAAAACCACTATAACTCAAATAAGTGATAAGTCTATATAAATGTAGTGTAGTTGCATTATGAACAATCAAATAACATACAAACAAAAAAAAAATGGATACAAAATGTGTATGGATTCTACTAGTTCTAGCTCTTTCGTTTTTCGTGTTCGGCAACGATCTTCAAGTCTCCGCGGGCCCCGCCCGACGCCTACTCTCGAGCGGATCTTGGCTTACGATGGATACAAATAATCCTCTGGCGCTCGCTTTTGCAAGGAACGCAGTGTCCGATCTCAATAGAACGGAGCGTAGGAACATGAAACTTTTAAGGGTACTAAACGCAAGAAGCAGGGCGGGCGTACGAAGCGGGGTGACGGAGGCGAAGCTTATTATCGAAGTTCAAGATGGGAAAGGGAAGACGAGATACACCGTCGATTTGCACGAAGATACTTGGAAAGGTAAAATTATACTAGATGCCTTCACAAGACTAAAGGCATGAATTTATAATAAGCCTTATAAGAAAAAATATTGTATGTTTTAATGATATGAAAATGAATAATTTTATATTAAGCAATAATATATAATATTATTGCATTTAATCTATATCTACATATAATATAATGTGTGTTCAATCATTACATTGCTTAAAAAACTGAATTATAAATATTTTCTTTCACTAATAAGTATTATTGTGTGTCATATGTACCCATAAATAATAACAATTATTATTATAATTATAATAATAATTATGAATTTATATCTCAAAATATATTTTCGGTATTTATTTTCGCCTGAATATAATTGGTTTGGACTGATTGAATATAATGGGCCTGAAACTATATGATAAAATGTGTATAACTGGGCCTTATTGCCCAATTTTAATTGACCTCTCTTAAATCTATTTTATCTACAAATGCCCCAGAAGTAAGATCTGTTTACAAAACAACCCCCTCACTTTCCGTAATTACATCCATCCCCTGTAAAAAGATAAACTAGAAAAAATACCCCTATAAAATTCAAACTAGTAGAAAATCCCCCATGATAGGAAAAACTAGCAAAAATCTCCCTGTGAATTTTTTTAAATAACACAATCAAACCATTGTGATTTTGGTCATTGACCGAATGTAAAATGACAAACATATTCAATAAAATAATATAAAATTAGAATAACAAAAAATGTAGGCCAAATTAAATAAAAAAAATAGAGGCGGAATTACAATTTATGCTAAATTTCCGAAACTTAATTTAAGGACTTGATTGCATTGCAATTTCCCCAACTCCACCACCACGACTCCACCTCCGCCAACAGTTGCACCCAAAACTCCGGCCACTATCCAACCAACCACCACCACCAATACGAACCCCAATCTCACCACCAATCTTATCCCATCCTCATCACTGTCGACATCACAAAAGAAACACGCACGCACAAATTGACAAGATTTTGCTAGTATATTACGGAAAGTTTTCTACTATTTCAAATTTACACAATGGTACTCTTTGCAGTTCACTTGTATACTATAAGCAATGGTTTTCTTTTATTCCGCTGATGTTATATTTAAGGTACATTTATAAAACCGCATAACGTAAATTCTTCAAATTTTGATATTATATTAGATTCTCATGACTACACAAATATACAAAAATAAAATAAAAAATTATATGTATATTTTCACAAATTTATTGAGAATTACCATTTTGTTTTAAAGAGCTTAATTGTAATTATTTTTTTCTTATGTTAACATACATGAATTAAACTTATCTCCTCCTATTTAATTAAACTTACATCTCAATTTAAAAAAAAAGGAAAATCACCATTCTATATAAGTGCAGTGTTCTTGCATCATAAGTAGAGAACCACAACATACACAAAAATATAAATTAAATTTAAAAAAAAATGATTATAAAATCTGTTTGGATTCTGGTGATTTTAGTTATTTTCCGATTTTCTGAATCGATTAAGCTCCCGCCTGGAAATTGGATTACGATGGGATTAGATAATCCAAAAGTGATTGAGTGGACGAAATTCGCAATTTCTGAAATCGGATTATGGGAGCATAGAAATCTGAAATTGAAGAGTGTGGTGCATGCTTATAGCCAAATGGGTACCCACACATACGATATGGCTTTTCAAGTCAAAGTCAAAGATGCCAATTTCGAACATACTTATGATATATTTATGGTTGAGAGGACTTTTCATCAAACTAAGAAATTAGAAGTAAAATCATACACAATGAAAAATTAATTAATGTAAGTATACATATATATATATATATATATATATATATATATAATTGGATGAGGATTGTAATGGAAAAAAAAGTATGAATAATTTCTTATCAAGCAATAAAATTATATTATTTTTTACCCATAATATCTGACCTATTGTTCTTTTAATATAAGCACATGACTCCTCTTAGTTTGAATTTTGTGGACATAACTCTCATGTACTTTTAATATAAGTACATAACCACCCAATGGTATTCCAATTAATAAATAATCATGTTCGTGAGGAAAATTAATTTTTTTAAAGCACAAAGAGTTATGTGCTTATAAGAAAATATAAGGGGATCATGTACTAAATTGAAAGTACAAGGGGCAATGTGCACAAAACTCAAACTATAGGGAGTAAGTGTTAATTTCCTATAATTAAATACAGTTTTCATCCCTCACATTAGCACCGAGTTCACATTTGGTCCCTCATGTTCACAAAAAACACATTCGGTCCCTCAGTTTAAAAAAATTCAACACTTTTAGTCATTTCGGTCAATTTTACGTCAAAAATAACGAAATCTAGTGTGTGCACATCTGCACCGAAAACCTACACGCAAGTACAAGCTAAGTAATATAGTGGACTAAAAGTCCGGATATCGAACCCACAGGGAATATTTAATTATTTAATCATATACGCTAAATTCTACCAATTATTATCAAGCCCACCCTACACAGTCGACTTTAGAGAGAATTAACTAAAATAAATTAAAAAGCAAATTAAAAAGACTAGAGCACGAAAGCAAATTAAAAACGAATGTTTAATCAGAGTAAACAAGCCTAGGATTTTATTCTCCCCCCTATGTGATTATTACCCCCCAATTCCTTCAATTATGCAAGCAATTAACCCGGATTATTAACCTGGGATGCTAAAATAATCATAACCCGCTTCCGCGTGTATTACGATTCTAATACTCTAGATTCAATTACTATATTCCTATGCAATTAATTCTAGAACACAGCATTAAGTACAAATCTCAATAATGGCTACCTAAGAGATTAACTATATTCCTATGTTAATACCACAAAGGTTCTTCTACCACAGTTCTAATTATTAACCCGATCTTCCGATTCATGCGATTAACAATAACATAAAAGCACATAAGTTGATCAAGTTCATGCACTTAATAAAACAAGTAGAAGAAATAATCCGGAATTAAAACTTGCATAAAATCATAGAATTGGGTTCATAAATCCCACATAGGGTTCCAAATAAAATCCTAGAAATAAGAAAATTAGCTACTCATGATTAAAGGAAAAATGCAAATAAAATTAATCATAAACGATAAGTCTATGCTTGGAGTCTTCGAATTCTTCGTCTTCGTTCTTGCTTTGTTGCTCTTGAAATTGTGTAAAAAGATCGATCCCCAATTGTGTGCTTGGTTTGGTCTTATATAGGGTAGAAAATTTGGAGAAGAATGTAGTTTCCTTGTGCAATTAGGATTCCTTTACTGCGTCTTTTCGTAATCTCGAACGGCCGTCCCGGATTTTGTACTAAAACTCGGACTGCCGTCCCAAAACCGGAGGCTGCTTCTGCCTCTCAGACGGCCGTCCCAGTTTTAACTGTAAATCTGGGACGGCCGTCCCATGCTATATATCTTCAGATTTTTTATTTTTTCAATTTTGGCGCATATTTTCTCCAAAATTGCAGTTTTTACCCCATACTTTTCCAATTCTTCAATTTGTACCTAAAATACAATAAATAAACTTTTTAAGCACCAATTATCGTTAAAACATACCAAAAGCTCCAATTAAAAGGTACGATAAAGTGTAAAAATATACACTTAACAACAGACTAACGGCAAATTGGCGAAAATAACCAAAAGCTTTAAATTATCGAAACATAAGGGGCCAAATGTATTTTTTGCAAATATAGGGGACAAAATATGAAATCAGTGCAAACCCGAAGGGTGAAAATGTAAATTTTCCCAAGAAATATTGATATCCCACCACACTCTTCTCCTCAACTCTCAAGTCTTATCAACGGTCAACTTGATTCTTAGCTGGATCATAAATCAGATTGAACCCCCAAAATTCCCCGGCAAAATCTACGTTTCCGAATCAGTTGAATTGAATCCCGAAACCCCTGCTCAGATTCAACCAAATTAATCCAGACAATCGACGGCGCGGCGGACCTCGGCGGCGCAGCTGGTGGTACTGTCCTGAAGAAGCTTCCTCTGCCGGAAAAATAGCGGCGGCGGTGGAGATTTCGCTAAGATGAAGGGTTTGTTCAAGTCGAAGCCGAAAACTCCCGCAGATTTGGTGCGCCGCACGCGCGATCTACTCATATTCGTGGATCTCGGAGGACTCGACACTAAGGAGACGAAGCGCGATGAGAAGGTTTATTCTTAATTTTCGTTTTTTTTTTAATTCATTTATTTGCTTTCTGATATAGTGATGAAATTTGGATCTTATTAATTAGTTTTCAATTTATGAGATTAAGAGTGATTTTTGCTAGATGACAAGGTAAAAAACATTAATTAGTGCTTTATAATCGACTAATGCGTAGTGACTTCTATTTTGTTTGAATTGTTTGTTTTTATGTTGTTGCATTGTGTTTTGTCTCTTCTACTGATTTTTACTTTTTTTTTTTTTTTTTTTTTTTGACTTCTTATTGCGTTATATAGATGACGGAGTTGAGCAAACTTATCCGAGAATTGAAACAAATTCTTTACGGAGACAGTGAATCCGAGCCCGTCTCGGAAGCTTGTGCACAGTTGACGCAGGAGTTTTTGAAGGAGAACACTCTTCGTCTTCTTATTATATGCCTTCCGAAATTGAACTTAGAGGTGCGGATTTTGTATTTGAATGCTATTAAATACGTGATTTTTGCTTTTTTTTGATATCTTGCTTACTGATAAAATTTACCTTTTTGGCTCTGAAATGATAATCGATCGGGTGATTAAGATGTGTAATAAGCTGCATTTTTGCAGACACGTAAGCATGCCACACAAATTATCGCGAATCTGCAGAGGCAGCAAGTGCAGTCGAGACTGATTGCTTGTGATTACTTGGAAAAGAACATTGATCTCATGGATATACTGATTGCAGGGTAAGTTAGCATTGGAGTGAATTCGTACTGAAACTAATCTAAATTTGAGGTCCCTGATTCACTTGGAAAACCGAGAAATTTGATGCCCCTGTTTCGGATTTTCTGTTTGTTATTAACTTGTCGCCCCGTTGTTCAGTGTAGCTTGAATGAATGAAAACACTTGGAAATAGGATGTTGAACAGGGCTCCTCTTTTTATTTATTTTATTGTAAAAAATATATCCTTTGATTATATATTTTCCTAAATTCTGCTTTGCTGTTGAGCCACCAGTTATGGGAATCCTGATCTGGCGTTACATTATGGTGCAATGTTAAGAGAATGCATACGCCATCAAATTGTTGCGAAGTGAGTTGATTATTCAATTTTCATGCTCTTTAATATTATTGTATATAATTAATTTTAAGCTCCTGTATTAATCAATATAACTGCTATGCCAGAATATCGTTGGGAAGCATATTCAAACCTATGAGCTCATTCTCAAAATACTTTAGATATTGTATTGGTAGACCATATTTTTTCTTTTTATATCAGAATTCAATTGATTATTCTACCTCACCCCGTACTTTTTCAAGTGTTGATAAATGCACCGTCACAAAAATTTCTGCCCGGGAAGATAATGATGTTGTGTCATTTTGTTGGAACATGACTGCATAGTGCATACTGTTTGTTTTAGTCTCTAATTAATGGATGAGTTTGATGCTGAATCACTGCAGATTTTTTTAATTTTGCCTCCTAATTTTAGAATCTGCTTGGATCTACAGGTATGTTTTGGAATCAGCGCATATGAAGAAATTCTTTGATTACATACAACTCCCGAATTTCGACATTTCTTCTGATGCTGCTGCCACTTTCAAGGTTACGTATTTCGACTGTAAAGAATATTCACCCCCACAAACTCCTTTTCTGCTTAAAGTTCTTGCTCTGCAAGAAAAAAACATGGACATGTATTACTGTGGTTTCTTGGCGTGGACCGACACTAACATGATTTATAACTTGTGCATTTTGTTTCAGGAACTATTGACTAGGCATAAGTCCACAGTTGCTGATTTTCTCTCCAATAATTATGACTGGGTAAAGAGTCTTTGCTTTGATAAACTGACTGTTGCATGCTACTTCAAAAACATCATTGAACTTTTTTTCCGCCTATCAAATCGTTGTGTAGAAGTTCTTAAGCCATTTAATTTCTTCCCACTTAGTACTGGTGCTGAATAATTTTCATTTATAGTTCTTTGCAGAGTATAACTCTAAGTTGCTTGAATCTACCAACTATATCACCAGAAGGCAAGCTATCAAGGTGACGTCTCTCTCTTGACCTCCCTACCTCTCTCTCTCTCTCACACACACACACACAGTAAAATACATTGGGCATAGTACTCGATTCTGACCCCATGATTTACTTCTTTCAGCTATTGGGTGATATGTTGCTTGATCGTTCAAATTCAGTTGTGATGACTCGATACGTTAGCTCAAGGGACAATCTGAGGATTCTCATGAATCTTCTTAGAGTAAGTAGCCTTTTAACCTCCTTCCTTATTATTCATATGTGCAGAGAAGTGAGGAAAATAGAGAGGCAAAGGAATGATTAAACATGACCCAAAAAATAAAATTCGTATATTTTAAAATGGAATCCAACGTTGAATTTTGTTTTCCACCAGGAATCAAGCAAGACTATTCAGATCGAAGCGTTTCACGTGTTTAAGGTATCCATTCTAAGCTCGTGGCAAAAGAGGTAAATAAATGGTTTTTGCCTCGTCATTTTCTGTTCTGAACCAATACAAAATACGTGCAGCTATTCGCAGCCAATCAGAACAAGCCACCAGATATTGTGAATATCCTTGTTGCAAACAGAAGCAAGCTTCTTCGCCTCTTTGCTGATTTCAAGCCCGAGAAAGGTCATCAATTAATCGTTTATGCAGCTAATCCATATGAATCTTTTTCATTCTCAAATGAATATTTTTCTGACAATATTTGGTTCTTTTTATTGCAGAAGACGAACAGTTTGAGGCTGACAAAGCACTAGTCGTCAAAGAAATCGCGGAACTTGAGCCAAAAGAATGAACGACGTTGAATTCAGGTCTCATGGCTGTGTTGTATCTTAAAAATGTGTGTCCAAATTTATAGATGCTATACTAAATAGTTATCAGGCTCTGTATTGTGTATTAATGACGAGAACGAAACTTGGGAAGTAATTCTGTACATGAAGAAGCCCTATTCGACTTATTACAATCGAAACCGAAATTTTCTCTCATGTTGTAATATATATATTTCGAGTTAATTGCAAAACGAAAAAAAAGAAAAAAAGAAAACTCGTTTTTCGTATGGTTTGAGAGCGCTTAATCCGAATGGTGCAACCTTCAATCTCTTTGCAGAAGCCAATTGGATGAAATGCTGATAAAAAAAAACGACGTTCCTCGATCCCCGCAACTATGAAATGGTGTTGTACTACGCGATTGACGGTGTTTTTTGGCTGTTTTTCGTACGGCGGCGTTAGTGTTTTTATACTGGACTAAAATCTAGTAATTATGCTGAAAAAAAAAAAAAAAAGGTAAATTACACCCACACTCCTGAGGTATGTTTAACTAACTTTAAGGTCGATGTGATATCGATAATTACACTCACCCCTCTGAAACATAGTTATAAACTCTAATGGGATAATTCATTGGATACGTTGTTTCGATAGACTTCTAACGGACTATTACTTTTAGCTAGTGGTGGAGACAACATAGAGTTATGAGGTGACATGACTTCTCCAACATTTCTTAAATCACACATAGCTCTTTGTTGTCTCCACCACTTCCGGAAACTAATAGTCCGTTAAAACTCTATCGGAATAACGTATCCAATGCATTATCCCATTAGAGTTTTTAACTATGTTGCAAAGAGGTGAGTGTAATTATCGATACCACAGATACCTTAAAATTATTTTAGCATACCTAAGGGGTGTGGGTGTAATTTACCCTAAAAAAATTCACTAATAGCCCCATTTGTTAATTAATGACAGTTAGGCCATGATATGGAGAGTGATTAAGGAATTATCTGTCAACTTTAATTATGTGATTAATATTCTCTTTTTGTTTTACTATAAATAAATAATTTTTGTTGTTTTCCGGTTCATAAAAACCAAATTAAAAAAAACCCTTCCAACAATCAAATAATTCCGATTTCCAATCATAAAAAAATGGCAGAAAAAGGCAAGATCCCCATCCATGTTTCTTCCTCAAATCAACGAACTCAATCACACAATTCACACATTCACTAATTTATATATATATAACGCGCCATTGTTCTTCAGTGAGATTTGTTGATCGGGATTCTTCTTGTATTTTCAGGTTCAGTGGAGGATTTCTTAGCGGCGGCGGTTGATGCTGCTAAGCGTGCTGGGGAGGTGGCATTTTATCTAACTTCTCTACTTTTTTTTTTTAATTACTGATTTAATCACCTCAATTCACCTGAGTTTATTTTTATTTTTATTTAATTTTTTTTTTGTTTTTGGGATCACAGGTTATTCGTTCTGGGTTTTACGAGACAAAAAACGTGGAGCACAAAGGCCAGGTAATTATTACCTTATTTTGATTTATATTCCGAGATTTAAAGGAATGTTTGTAGCCTTCAGTTGATGAACAAGAGGTGTATATCTTCAGTAATTAATCTGTAATGGATTGTTTAATGTTTCGTAAATCGTAATTTGGGACTGTGCTAATTATGCTCACTCACTGTTAAGAGTAGATTTCGGAGTGAGTTCGAATTTCGTAATGCTTTTGATTGCTTGTTCGGGTTTCGGAAATTGCCTGATGAATGATGATGTTAGGAGTTTGATCTCGATAAAAACTGCGACGCTTTTGTTTGTTTTTAATTGCGTTATATGCTGCTGATGTGTGTCGATAATTCTGTTTAGGTAGATTTGGTCACCGAGACCGACAAGAAATGCGAAGAACTCATTTTCGATTTTCTCAAATTACAATTTCCCGACCACAAGGTTCGATTTCTAGATACCGGTTTTTTTATTTTCAGTTGGATGCTTTGCTGTAGTGAACTTCATATCTTGACGTTGGTGTTTTGTTTCGTCTTAGTTCATCGGGGAAGAAACTACTGCTGCTTTTGGCACCACAGAATTGACCGATGAACCGACTTGGATTGTTGATCCGCTAGATGGAACCACTAATTTCGTTCACGGGTTAGTATCTTCTTTTTTATTTATTATTATTATTAGTATTTTCAATTTTATCATAATTCGAGTAATTGTCGACAAGTTGAATAGTAAAAGTACTGAGCTAATATGTTCTAATCTTTGATGCATTGCAGGTTTCCTTTCGTATGTGTATCTATTGGGCTCACGATTGGACGAATTCCGACAGTTGGTGTTGTCTACAATCCAATTATGGACGAGGTGCGACCACTGTTCCGACAATTTGAATAGCACCATTTTTTTTAGGCTAATTCAGAAATCTAAGCAGCTGTCTTATATTTACGTTAACGAATCTTGATTTTTTCGATATGCAGCTTTTTACCGCAATTCGAGGCAAAGGTGCATTTCTAAATGGAAAACCCATCAAAAGTGAGTTACTTCTTCAGAGATTTATATATGTTTATTTTAAATTCGGGTTACGGTTTTGTGATCCCTATTGCCGCATTTTTCATGTGCAGCATCGTCTCAAAATGAACTTGTGAAGTCCCTTCTCGCCACAGAGGTAATCTGCTAAGCATATTTAGCTTAACCAGAATTTATAAAAAAAAATTAAAGAAAAGAAAAATTACCACTAGATTGTTTTAACTAGACGACTAATCAAGATTCATCGTAATTGAAATAACAGATAGGCACAAAGCGTGACAAGTCTACTGTGGACGCCTCTACAAATAGGGTCAACAGCTTACTCTTCAAGGTAACTTTAGTTGTTAGTAGTGGGTCCCACAGCCACGATTTCTTTCGGGTTTTTTTTTCTTTTTTTTTTTTTTTTTTTAACTTTTTCATGTTGAAAAAATAGCTGAGAGCATGGATTTGTGATCAATTAAACAGGTTAGGTCCCTTCGTATGAGTGGCTCCTGTGCAATAAATCTATGTGGGATTGCCTGTGGAAGGCTTGATTTATTCTATGAGCTCGGTTTTGGAGGCCCTTGGTAAGATTTTCAAAAAATATTCCAATTTCAAAAAATGTTCGATTTTCCACAAATGTTCGATAAATTACTGAAGTTGGGCCCGTTTATTCAGGGATGTAGCTGCTGGTGCTGTTATTGTAACTGAAGCTGGTGGACTCGTTTTTGATCCGTAAGTAACAATTCCTCCAAAAACAAAAAAAAAAAAAAACAAAAAAAAGAAGGGTTTGTCGCATCTTATTTTGCAAAAAGACACTTGAAAAAAAAGGTTGAAATATAAGTAAGCTACTCAAGAATGGTTTATTGCATTTAGCACCCTATCTTTTCTCTAATTGCTAAGATTCCACATGTTATTTAATAGTAAAAACTAAAGCCCTCCTATCATTTTTTTTAGCTTAAAAAATGCATTACTAATATCACGGGGACTCTTTTAGCGATTCGATATAATACAGGGGTACTAAATGCAATAAACTCGCTCATGCATACTGTCGTTAACTGAGCATTCATTAAATATATCTCCCAAAAATAACTTTGATTTTAAGCTAAATTATGATTGTTCTATTGTGACAGATCGGGTAAGGAATTTGATATTACATCTCAGCGAATAGCAGCTTCGAATCCTCTTGTGAAAGATGCGTTTATCGAGGCATTGCAAAAATCAGAATGAAGAATTGTCGGTGAAAAATAAAACGAGCTTCTAAACCAGTTGAGTTTTCTTGAATTATCTTCCGAAAAGCATTATTTATAATAAACGAAGCTTTCGGTTTTATTTTCTGGTTCTCATCCTTGGCTGATGCCTACATCTTAGTATTTGTAAACTATATTATGATTATTTCCCACCCATACAAAATTTCTTTTAATTTTTCAGAATTATGCTGCTTATACATATTAAATACTTACATAATATATATTGGGTTCATCTAATAAATAAATAAATATATAATATATATGTTTATTGCATACTAAAAGTAGGGCAAATGCAGTGAACCAAAACAAATGTGATTTGGTACAAAATTAAAAATTAATTAACAAGTCACATGGATGCCTCTTATCCTATCTATATACAAGACAAGATTAAATAAATAAATAATTAAATAATTATAAACAAATTCAATAATTAAGAAATGAAAGAATTGACAGTCAAATTATTCAGGTAGTACTCGGCCATAATTTCAAATAGTACACATGCATTAATTACGTATGGTTGTGTGTGTGTGTGAGATGATATATAGATGTTGCTATTTGTCAAAGAGGATTATTAAATTCTGTTTGAATTAAAAAAAAAAAACAATAAATAAATAAAGAAATATTAGGAGTTGGAGTTGTTTAAGGTACAGCTGTAGCATGCTACAGATACGATGTATCATCTCTCGTACGGTAGCTGCTTCTTATATTAACTTATTTATTAATTTAATTATGTATATATTATATTATATCAATATATATTTTATGTGTATATAAGTGCATGAATTTGTGTGTGCATCAGTGCACGTGTGGTGATGTGTGTATGTTTATGTGTTTGAAATGTACGAAAAACATTTGAGTTTTAATTAGTTGTACTTCTCATTTTCTTATTGCTGTAGTAATTTCCCTAATTAAGTAGTTAATATAAGAGTTTAATTGTTAATTAAGCTTTCGAAATAAGAGATTAATTAGTTAATCGCGCTTTTATTATTAGTCTAAGGAAAAATATTAGTGAAATACTATCAACTTTTTAAGTAGGTAAGCAATTCATCAGGCCACATTTGAAAAGACCAAAGCTTTGTACAATGTAACAATTTAATTATTGGGATTACGTAATTGTTATATAATAATTGGATTAATGAGTGTAAGGGACCCTGTCTTTAAATATTGACAGCATGCAAGTGATTATATAATACATTTAAACATCTAAAAATTAATACAATTGGGATTAGCAAACTTCTATTGATTTATTAAACTATCGAGCTAATAAGTTAGTACTTTTTAACGAGTCGGGATCAGAAGAAATTATTATTTGAGTGAAATTCTTCAAATGTGTTTTTTTACTTTTTTTCTAGCTAGTGATCTGATTTTGAGAAAATTCAAACATGGAAACTGTAGTCTCATGAATTAGCTTCTTAAGCCAACTTGAATAAGTCAAATTCCATGTCGGCTGACAAAATTGTGCTTGGAATTGAACAAAGTTATACATGAATGAGTTATATTAAACTTTTGATAATTCATAATATCAAAAATTGTGAGCATTATTCGTTAATGCATTCATATTTTCTTTCACCGATATCCAATTTTGGCGATTCAAGTTCGATTAGAGAAAGCTAACTCAATGAACTACAAATTCTATATTTTGAGATTCGACAAAGTCGGACTAAATACGTCTGAAGTCGAAACTGCAATGACATTTATCACATCATTTGAGTTATTAAAAAAAAAAAAAACAAAGCTGATGTTGACTCAAAACGACGGCGTTTTAGTCATCTGCCGACTGCCGTGTCAAAGTACAAGAGGGTTTTGCTACGGTGACGGGGGAGCTCAGGTGTTAAAGTTACGAACCACAGAAGTGGGCCCCACACATAATAAACACGCATCGAGCAATTTTCTCAAGCCCCACTGCGCGCGTGCGAGCCCAAAATTTTGAACTGTCCATATACCAGCTGTGAGTTTAGAAACAAAAGCCCAAATATCCATGGGCCCACCCCTTGCGACCAACCAAATCCCACTCGTTGATCCATTAATAATTTAAGGGGTAAATTACAACCAACCCCCTAAGGTATGGTTAGATTACAAAAAAAAACCCTTCTGTTTGGGTAATTACAACCACTCCTCAACTATAAATCTTGTTACACGTCCACCCTTGCAGCGTCAAATTTAATGGAATCTTCTAGATTATATGGATATATTATCAATTTTGTACCCATTTTATCTCATTCGAGCTCCACATTTCGGGGCAAGATCATAAGATGTGTTTTTTGTCTTGTATATATTATATATATATATCAGATTGTGATGCATCAGAAACTGCATTTTTGTACGAAACGAATACAAACTAGACAACATTTCCACGGAATCTAGAAGATTCTGTTGAATTTGACACCATAAGGTGCACGTGTAAGAAGCAAGAAGATTCATAGTTTAGGGGGTAGTTTTTAATTATTCAGAAATTAGGGGTTTTTTTGTAATTTGACCATAAATCAGGGGTGTGGTGGTAATTTACCCTAATTTATTTTTTTACGAAAAAAAAAAAAAAAAAAAGAATGTATTTATTTATTTAAATAATCATCTATAAATCACCGCTGATCTTCTTCTCCAGTGAGCTATTTCCTTTTTCACAGTTGTCCAGCAGCCATGGTTTCTCTAGAAGATTCTCACTCACACTCTCACTCTCGAATCAACACCAATTTTACTTCCCGCTACACCGAATCGCGGCCGTGCTACTACTACACCCCGCCGCCGTCCTCGGCCAAAATCAGCCGCTCCTTCGGCCGGTCCATGCGCACCATACGGTCCAACATCTTCCAACCCGATCAATCCGTCGAGAAACCGATTAACGAGTCGGAAAACCTCACCGACTCGTTCGTCGACCTCCGCCTCGGTGAGCTCGCCAACAAATCGTCGGGTAATTCGAAAAGCCTTTCCTCCGCCGAAATCGACGATATATTGGACACCTCACGCGCCTTCAGCGATTTCTCCGCGTGCTCCAGCGATATTTCAGGAGAGCTCCGGCGTCTCGCCACTCTCCCCGAGTCAGCACCGAGTCAGGGTTTGAACTCTGATCTCGACTCAGAAACGTGTGCAGGTTTTCTACAGAGGGAAGCGTTTTCGTCGGAGATAATCGAGAGCATCTCACCTGAAGACCTCCACCCAACCGTGAAACTCTGCGTCGACGGTCTGCAATCGCCGTCGATCGCGCTGAAAAGATCCGCCGCCGCCAAATTACGTCTGCTGGCGAAAAATCGAGCCGACAATCGGGCCTTAATCGGAGAAATCGGAGCAGTACCCGCCCTAATTCCCCTCCTCCGTTGCCCCGACCCGACGACCCAGGAGCACGCAGTCACCGCCCTCCTCAATCTCTCCCTCCACGAAACCAACAAACTCCTAATCATGAGGCCCGCCACCGCCGCCACCGCCGTGAAATCCCTAATCTACGTATTGAAAACCGGCACCGACACCTCCAAGCAGAACGCCGCCTGCGCACTCCTCAGCCTATCCTCCACCGACGACAACAAATTATCCATCGGCGCGTGTGGTGCAATCCCCCCACTAATCGCACTTCTCATAAACGGATCCAACCGAGGCAAAAAAGACGCACTCACTACTCTCTACAAGCTCTGCTCGGTGAACCTCAACAAGGAGAGAGCGGTGAGCGCCGGCGCAGCAAGACCGCTCGTGGGGCTGGTCGGAGAACAGGGCACCGGACTTGCGGAGAAGGCCATGGTGGTGCTGAGTAGCTTAGCCGGAATCGAAATCGGGGCCGAGGCTATCGTCGAAGAAGGCGGGATCGGCGCTTTCGTGGAAGCCATCGAAGATGGCAGTAATAAAGGGAAAGAGTTTGCAGTTTCTGCACTAGTCCATCTTTGCGCCGAAAGTGTCGCGAACAGAGGATTGCTCGTTCGTGAAGGCGCGATTCCGCCATTGGTCGCTTTGTCGCAAACCGGAACGGCCAAAGCTAAGCATAAGGTTCATTCATAAGATTATTACATGTTTGTTTGGTTTTTCTTTGATTCTTGTTATGAATTGCTAATGTGTTATTCAACTCATTGATTTTCGAAAACAAGTGATTGAAAAGATAACTCTAACTATAGTAGAATCTCCATAAATTAGTAAACTCGCTTAAATAATAGTTTTTTCTGATCCCGACTCGGTAAAAAGACCTACTAAATTATTAGTTCGATAATTTTAATATTTCGCTAAATTAATAGAATTTTGACAGGCGGAAACACTTCTGAGGTACTTGAGGAAGATAACTCTAACTCTAACTACTAGTGTTACGTACAGTAGAATTTCGATAAATTAGTAATCTCGCTTAAATAATAAATTTTTCTGGTCCCGACTCGGTAAAACAACCTGCTAAATTATTAATTCGATAATTTTAATATTTCGCTAAATTAATAGAATTTCTGTTACTTTTGGCAGGCGGAAACACTACTGAGGTACTTGAGAGAATCAAGACAAGAAGGATCGTCTTCAACTCCATAAAAGGTGTGATTCTATTTTTGAGGGTTTCTATGATTTTGAGCTTGTTTGTGTAGTAATGGTTTGGCTTGTCTGTATATAGCAACAACAACTGTGTTAATGGCTTTGTATAAAGTGTTTCATTTTTTTTTTTTTACATAATTTTGAGAGTTTTTAGATAAACAAGAAAGTGTAGAAATATTTAGAAGCTAAGCTAAGAAAATAAGCAGCTGACCTTTTAGTTGTAATTTGGTTGACTGGGTTTTTTTTCATTAGGCTTTGTTTTGGGGGTTATGATCATCTTTAATTTGTTGATGAAGAAACCCTAATTCTTTATTATTAGAGTTTTTTGTTTGATTGTGTAACTAAATATGCTCTCCAGCTTGGAGTATATTCTTTTTTCGGAAGGTGAAAAACTAATTCCGACTTCAGTGAAAAACTAATTCCGACTTCAATCCAAAAGGATCGAAAAAATCGGAATTTCATGTATATGGATAATTAAAAAAAAATCAAAATAGTTGGAATTCGAAATGGGAAAGTATTGTTACAAAATCCAAATTAAATCAATGGAATTCGCAAAAATTGTTCGAACATTTTTTTTAGTAATGAAGAAACTTACAACCAATTTTATATGTGTACTGAATAAATCAACATTCTCGTACAATAGTTTGTAAAGTATCACAATCTTAACTTAGCAACCGTTGACAAATGGATTCGAACTTGAGTACAACCTCAGTTCTTCCATTATTTCATCCCATGGTTGGTTGGTAATATATTCCAATTTTCAAGGTTTGATTGATGATGAATTTTGTAGTTTTTTGACCCAATTATTTTATTTATTTATTATTGATATTTATAAGCTTCAAAGACAAAGTATTGGTTAGCTGGGCGGCCAATTTGGCTGTATTATTTGTCGAAAGTGATGGTTTTTTTCACCTGAGTAGGTCAACTGTAGACACCTTATCCTTTGACCTGAACTCCAGTTTCTTTTAATCATCCTTAAATTAACTTAAACTTAGACTCCAAATCAAATTGCCTAATCCTGTCTTAATCACGGCTTAGGTTATCATTGCTCATGATTAATTATAAGAGATTTCTTTGATTTAACCAACCACTTTGGAGTAGGGATTAAGACATAAATAAGAATGAGTAGTGGGACCCTTTTACCCCTAATTCTTTGTTGTAAAGTTGGATCTACCTACAATTTGTGGGGGGGCCACCGCCCCCACTGTTGCATGTGTAATTGTATTTTTAACCATGGTTAGTAACACCGCTAACACAAGTGGGGGCTGGTTTGGTAGCCACACTATTTTATATTTGACTCGGCATTTAATTTATCGGTTCAAATTCTCTAATCCAAGTCATTTCATGAATATATGTGACCAATTAATTAACCATTAAATCTCTCTTTTTTGGACCAAGGTAATGATTTTTGGACCAAGATAATCAAAGTAGGACTGAGTTGGTTTTTGTCCAGCAACCGATCCTATTTTTAGAAGGATACTATTTTTTTAACCAATTCATTGGATTAGGTCGAAAATTTCAAACAACCTATTAATAATCGATCAATTTATGGTTTCTAATATCATTAAAAGTTGGTTGATCGACCGACCATCAACCGACATACAAAGGTTAGGTCGGCAATGATGATTTTCATTTTTAAGCAAAATTGGCTTGTTGGATGGATAGGGTTTTAGGCCAGTAATCAACCGATCCAACACAGTCTCAACCCTGAATGAAAGATATTAGATAATTAAAACTGATTTATCAATCTTAAAGAAATTCTAAAGTGCAATTAAGGAAGTAGACAAGGTAAAAAATTAGGATAAATCATTGGCAAGAAAACCAATTTAAAATAGTCATATATGTACTAATTAAAAAAAAAAAAATTGAATCCCTTGTGATAATTAGGAATCGAGGTCTAAAGTTCGAATCATGCCCTCGTTCGCTACTTTTCGACTGCAATAAATGTTAATGCAACCCTAATAAAACCCTAGACAGCAATTTTATCTGTCTTACTAGAACTATCCTCATCAGAACTGCCACACAAGCTAGGCTTAAACCCCTTGTCAAGCATCTTCTCCACCTCCTCAAACAGCAGCCCCTTCGTCTCCGGCACAAGCAAATAAATCGCCACGAGCCCGGCGGTCGAAAATCCGGCGAACAATAGAAAAGTTCCGGCGGACCCAAGAGCTTGCGTCAGGGACAAAAACGTCATACTCACAATGAGATTCGAGATCCAATTAGAGACCGCCGCTATGCCACCACCGATTCCTCTATACCTCAACGGGTAAATCTCGGAGTTGATTATCCAAGGTGCGGTCCCCATTCCGGGAGAGTAGGATACAATGTACAACCCTAGAAGCAAAACCGCGAAAAATCCGAACTTGCTAGGGCAACCTTTCGTGTACCATGTTCGGTGCTCCCCTTGGCACATTCCTCTTATTGCATCCGTTGCGGCCAAGCACGCACCGGGTTGGTACTAAAATCACGAACGAAACAAAAAAACGAAACGATAAATATAAATCATAAAATTTACATACAAGTTTCTATTTATTGATAATTTATAATTTTCATATATTTTTGTAGAAATTTATTCAAATAAATATATATTTTCAACATATATGAAGAATTAAGGAAAAAATATACTTGGGGATATTCTACTAAGGTGGTTTTTGCAAATGATTATTTAAAAGCAGAAGTTAGTGATTATGAGTTAAGCCAATTTTAAATGCTTATTTCTAAAAGTTAGGGGTATTGGCGATTATTTTAAGATAAGCAAAAGTAAAAGTTGATTTTGCAAAGATCTGAAAACGGATTATGAGTAAAAAAAAGCTCATAATCACTTTCAAAAAACTTTTGCAAACACCAGCTAAAATGCGCTTCTAATTTTTTGGAAATTGCAAAAAAGGCCGAAAGAGTTTCATTTAATATAACATCAAGAATTGAAAAAAAATGGAGAAAGAAAAAAGAATCTTACATTGTTATGTCCATTAGCACAGAAGGCGCAATCGGACGAAGATTGAAGACACGTCATACAGTTCCATTTCGACGGCTCAGATGCTCCGGCAAAAGTCGAGCAAGTCGAGTTCCCACCAAAGTGTAGAGATTCAACACCACTAATTTTCGGCGAATGATCGGACGCTTCGTAAAAAAGAACAGACAACGCAACAAGACAAATTATAATACCAAACATCGAAACAATCATAAGCCTTCTCCTCCCAAATCTGTCGACGAAAGCCATACTAACAATCGAACCGAATGCGTTCAGACCAGAGGTTACAAGCGACAATGCTAAAGCTGTCTCATTCGAGGCGAAACCTGCCAGCTGGACGATCGTGGGGCTGTAGTACATAACGGTGTTTATGCCGACAAACTGTTGAGCAACTTGTACGGTGATGCCTGCGTAGAGTCCTCGTCTTACGATTTTGTTTCCCCAAACGTTTTTGAGTTTCGAGAAAAAGCCGGTGCCTATTGAAGCTTCTTCGATTTTTTCGGCTTCGACTGAGGATTGTAATGCCTTCATTTCTTCTTCGACCTCGTTTTCTGGGTAGATTTTCTCGAGAATTTCCCTCGCTTCCTTTACCTTGTCCTAATTTAAAAAAAAAAAAAAGAAAAAACAACAACAATTGTCGAGTTTAAAGATCCATTTTTATCCGATTTTCGTCGATTTTTAAACTGAATATTTCCGATTTTCTAATAATGTTTTCCAATCCGAATTCCAATTTTTCCGATTTTTTTTTTCCGAACGGAATTGGACTACATAATAGATTCCGGTTTCTGATTCAATTTTAATTCCCAAAAATATTTCAAAAAATACACTTAAACGATCAATACTATTATGTATTTTATATAATAGTTGACTGAAATTTCAAAAAATCCGAATTTCACCTAATCCCATCCGAAAATTTTCGATTTCGGAATTAGTTTTTTGAGTCCGATTTTTGTTTCATCTTCTTGTAGTGTTTGAATTAAAAAAAATAAAAAATTAAATTTGATATTTACCTGTCTATATAACCATCTAGGAGACTCGGGAAGCGATAACATCAAGAAGAACTGGACAACCGCCGGAACTCCGGCGACTCCGAGCATCCACCGCCACGTGCCAGGTGTCTAAAAAAAAATAAAAAATTATTACACATTATCGAAATAAAAATATTTATTTATTAAAAAAAAAAGAAGCAAGATTTTTACCTTAGTGAATGCTAAGTTAATAAGATAAGCCAAAAACTGTCCTCCTGTAATTAACAAACCATTAGTGCTAACTAATGCACCCCTAATTCTCGCCGGAGACGCTTCGGAAATGTATAGTGGTGACGTCATCGAAGCCATTCCGACGCCTAATCCGACGAACACTCTTCCGACTATTATCATCCAAGGCGCCACCGAGGCCGCCATTATAACTGCTCCGACGAAAAATAAAATGTCGGCCAAAAGAATCGATTTTTTCCGACCGTACTTGTCGTTTAAATAGCCGCCAAACGCCGCACCGAATATCGCCCCTCCTACCGCCATGCTCACTATCGTTTCCTGCAAATTTAGCATCAATTAAATTAGTCACGTAAATCGTAACTTTATTATATTATATTATTTGGAACGTAATAATTTTATAATTTAATTTCTTGCCTGCATCCATGTGTTAGTGTCGACGGATTTGAAGTCGTCTCTGATGTAGAGGAGAGCACCGGAAATAACACCTGGTACGTACGTAGATCGAAATATAATTAATTGTGGATTTATAATAATATCTTGACAGCCAAACGAGGCCTAATTAATCAATTGTTTATTTGTACCGTACCTGTGTCATAACCGAATAATAACCCGCCAATGCCAGCGGATAAAGCGAGACGCATAATGTAGGGCGTTTTCAAACTCGTTCGCCAGCATTCCGTAAATTCCGTTTTATTCGGTTTCGCAATACCTCCCTCCATTTTACTTTTCAGCTCAATAAATTACCGTTTCTTCACAACACTTCTAGCTACCGAGTAAAAATTAACTCGATTATTATATAGAAAGCCAACTAATTTACCTGGAAAAAAAACATATTTACGACGAAGAAAACTTTGTCGTAAAATCGACTCGGCATGGAATTTCGGAATCAGATCGAAAGCATGTTTTATGATTGGTGGAGAATCTTGATATCAGATTCTTGATTCTTTTTAATGATTTTGAAGATCAAGGGTTGATTTTTAATTATGTGCAAATTAAAAGGCAATCCTCATTAAATAAGAGTTGATTTTAGGAACCCCTCAATTGAATCTATACAAACAATCTTTATATATATTTATAAAATATATGTATATTAAATCTTCAAAATTTTGACTTTCTAAATTAATAAATTAAAGTAACCCTACGTATACCAAATTACGGCCACTCATGAGTTATTGTCAAATTACGAAAACTCCCCTCGTATTTGGGTAATTACAGTCATACTCCTCAACTATGTATTATCTTACTCCTCAACTATGTATTATCTTACGAAAATACACCTCCAAAGATAAATTGAAGGATGTTAAATCGGTAAAATAGAACCAACATTTCGGTACACAATATTTCATACCGTTTACCGAACTGAATATACGATTTGATTCGGTAAATAATCAAATTACACAAATTTTATATAAAAATATTTTTAAAAGGAGGAATGACTGTAATTACTCAAGCAAGAGAAGTTGTTGAATCAAAAAACGACGTCGCTCATTTTCTCAGTACAAACAAAAAACAGGTGGACTATTCTCTCAAAAACGACGTCGTTCACAAACATATTCAGTTGACTGTAACACGACCAGATTGAAGAAACAGCAAAATCAATTAAACCGAAGAAAACGTGATTCAGAAATGCGATTTCTTCACGAAACAAACACAAAAGCGCGTGGAAACGAAGATCACAGCATTACCTCAATTAGGGTTTTCTGTGTTTCTTCTTCTTCTTCTTCTTCCTCTTCCTCTCTGCATGCGATTTTTACGGGATTCCCCTTTTCTCCGATTATTCTATTGTGCACGTCATCTCTAATGGATAATGTGTGTGTGTGTGGATATATAGATGTTTTAGTGTGTGTGTGTGTGGATAATATGATAATATAATATAATATAATTTAATAAAGGATATTATTATTAAATTTAGCTTTGACCAACTTTCAAATTCTAATAATATTTTTCACTTTTTATTAAATTAAATGAATTAAGACTCCATTAGAATTTTAATTGTAAATTTAATTCGAATTAAAATACATGAGCTGAATTTTCAGTATTATATATCTTTTTCTTTGAATTTTTTTGATGAAACGGAATCTTTATCCATTAAAAAGAAAAAGATTCGGAATCAAATTATTAGAACACGTGTTTTACTTGTTGGGCATTTCACATGGAGTATTAAGAATCAGAATGTATATGGATTTCATTTAGTATATATGGATAAATATTAATTATGGAAATTTAATATAAATGGATAAACATCGATTATCTTAAATTAATTCAGTCCAACTCTATCCAAATATTGCACATCTTCACTATAGGTGGTGTCGTTTGGTTGCTAAGGAAAGATTAGCTAATATATAAATTAAATAATTTAATGAAATTTATTTGTATTATTGGATTTTGAAAGGTCCGACAAAAATCATAACTAAAAAGTAAGATAAACTACGATAACAAAATATTGGCGGTTGATTTAGTAAGTTAACGAAGATACCAAACATCGAACAACGTTTTATTATTTAATTAATAATAGTTTAATTTCTCCAATCAAACGAGGTCTAATGCTACAAGCCGATCAAAGAGTCAAATATGATAATTTACTAGATAACCGTAATCCACAAAATTACGCAATCAATCATGAAATCATGGGAATATGGTCGAGATTGTTATTTGATTTTTCATTTAATGTTTTCATTCATTATTTTCTTGCGGGAAAATTATAATTTTTATCTCGATTTCATATGTGGTCCTCCTTGTTAAAAAAAAACACATCTGATCCCTTATACTTTAATAATTTAACATTTTTCGTCTTTTCCGTTAATTTATCTTTAGTCCGATATTTAAGGCCGTGATGAACACACCCTTGACTCCGTTAGTTTAAACGGAAAATTGAGAGAAAAGATCAAATGTGTATTTTTTTTAAACTATGAGGGACCAAATGTGTATTTTTTTAATATAATGGACCAAATTTATAATTTGTATAAACTTAAGGGGTGAAATCTATATTTTTTCTCATTTTCTTGCCCACAGTCCGACCCGCCCCGGCCCATATTTTCTTGATCCAGCCGTTTGTTTCTACGCTACCCGAAATGTAAATCTGGCTCTCTTTCTCCTCCCACTTCTTGTAAAAAAAAATCATGAAAACCTGAATTCAATCAATCCTTAAACATAGCGATTAAAATTGATTTGATCCCTCATTTCTTCCCCAGATAAATGTAATTAATTAAAAAAAAAAAAAAAAAAAAACTGGATTAATTAATTTGTTTTCTCTTGCCTATCTTCTCATCGTTGATCTCCGTCGGAGGAGGGACCTCAAAATTAGGGCAATGCACATCGTTCGTTAATTGGTTTATGTATGTTTCTACTCTTGATTTCGTTTTTCACCTTTAATTTTGTATTTTTTTATAACAATTATATGTTTTTATTTGTTTTTAACGATTAAAGATTGAATTTTTTTTTTTCTTGTTTGTCTGAAATGCTGTAATTTAGGGCAATTTTGAAGTTCAAGATAATTCATTTTTTATGGAGATATTGTTGCTTATTTGTTTCTTTAAACCTTAGATTTTCAGTCACCATGCTATTGAATGACTGCAAAGTGTTTGTAGAAATGCTAGTTATTTTTGCATGCAGGAGTTGTTCGAACATGTCTAGTTACTTTCCGATTTTACTAAGTTTTTTTTTTATTTTGATGGGATTCGATTTTGTGGGAAGAAATATTTTGTTGTACAATGATGGAATCTCGTAGTGGCGGACCGGCTGTGTATCTATCCGTATATATACACATATAGAAGTGTTGGGTAATTATATTCGGAATATTTGGTTTCAAATTATCGAGATTACTTTCTTCATGCTGTTACCTTATATTTTTCGATATACTTTACCTGCATTGCAAGCTTCTACTTATGCCTTTGTCTGAATTTGGTGTTTTCGATATTCTTTAATGTTTAGCATTGAACAAGTTTCCTGATTTTGTGTATGTATATGTATCAGCAAAATATGATTCTGTATATGTGGCGTTAAAGGGGGGTGTGGGGGCGATTTTCAAGATGGCCTTTTACACAGAGGAGGATCGAACCGAAGACTATCTTTTCAAGATTGTTTTAATCGGTGACTCGGCTGTTGGTAAATCGAATCTACTTTCAAGATTCGCTAGAGACGAGTTCTACCCTAATTCGAAATCTACAATCGGAGTAGAATTCCAAACGCAGAAAATAAAAATCAGCGGTAAAGAAATTAAGGCTCAGATATGGGATACAGCTGGACAGGAGCGGTTTAGGGCGGTGACGTCAGCGTATTATAGAGGTGCCGTCGGAGCCCTTATGGTCTATGACATCAGCAGACACGAAACCTTCGAGAATATCGGAAGATGGCTTAACGAACTTCGCAGTAAGCTTTTTTTTTTTTTTTTTTTTTTTCTTTTTTCCTATTTGTTTGTGTTCGTGTTAAAATCGATAGGCTTAATTTTTAATGTCTAGAAAATATTTCTTTTGAAGTTTCTTGAAATTTACTTTACTGCGCGGTCTCGATTCCCTAGTGATTTCAATTCTTGATTTTTTTTTTCGAACAGCTCATTCGGATATGAATGTAGTAACAATATTAGTCGGAAACAAATCGGATCTAAAAGACGCGCGAGAGGTGACAACTGGCGAAGGCAAGGAGTTAGCCGAAGCGGAGGGTCTTTTCTTCATCGAAACCTCAGCTCTCGATTCCTCGAATGTCTCTGCTGCTTTTCAGACAGTCGTGGGAGAGATTTACAACATTCTAAGCAGGAAAGTCATGCAATCTCAAGAACTCGAGCCTAAAGAGGCTGAGTGGACCCCGCATGGGAAAACGGTAGTTTTGGAGAGCGACGAGAACAAAAAAGGAGAAACTGCAGGTACAGCAACTGCAGAGGATGGAGAGGCTAGTAAGAAAGGTGGGTGCTGTTCTTCGTGATTTCGATTGGATTCAAAAATCCTTCATACACTTTTCGAATGTTAGAACTGTAGCATTGCATTATTTTTTTATTTTTTATTTTTGGAAATTTGTGTTGATTGTTTAGATGTGTAATGAAACATGTGAATAGAAATATTAAATGGTAAATTACGGCCACCAGCCTGAGTTATGGTCAAATTACGAAACCCTCCCTCCTGTTTGGTTAATTGCAACCATCCCCTTAACTATGTATTATCTTACGAAAAGACCCCTCCAAAGGTAAATTTAGGGATGTTAATTTAGTAAAACCGAACCGAAATTTCTATACGCCAATATTTCATACCGTTTACCGAACTAAATATATGATTTAGTTCGGTAAATAACCGAATAACATTAATTTTATGTAAAAATATTTAAAAGGAGGGGTGGCTGTAATTATCCAAACAAGAGGGGGGTTTCGTAATTTGGCCATACCTCAGGGGTTGGCTGTAATTTAGTTCGTAATTTAGACTGAACTAAATATGCCCCAGAATTAGAACAAGAAAGAATGTTTTCTTTCACTCGTCCTTATCTTAATTCTTTGGGCCCTGATATATGCTCAAATTACGAAAGTCCCCCCCCTATGTTTGGATAATTACGCCAACTCCCTTTAATTACATATTGTCTTACGAAAAAACCTTTATTCACAAGGTATTAATTTTTTGGATCAAAATTGGAAATAATTTTTCACTCGTATTTTTCCTCGCAAAGTGTTAATTCCAAGAAAAAAATAATAGTAAAAGCAGAAAAATAAATAAATAAGAAAAAAAAACTAGTTTTTAATAAAGGAATATGCCATGGCTTTGCCAAGTAAATAAGATGTAATAATAATATCCAGTCTGCCAAAACAACTTTGGAACTTCACTTAAACCTTAAATTAGAAGAAGAATATTGAGACAGCCTACTGATAAAAAGTTTTTGCAGCTTCTTCTTACGTCAAGAAGATGTACGATAATTCCGTAAATCCAATGTCACATATCAAACCAATCTCGAGAAACGAACGAAAAAAAAAACCCTATATCGAAAAGCTCAAATAAACGCACTTCTTGATCTTACATTTCGGTTCTGCTCGTGTATATATATAATAATCTTCAAGTGTCCATAACTCGATTTTTCCTAGGCTGCAATTCCTGTTTCACAACGAAACATTAAATTAGTTCATCAACGTATATTCATAATAAGAGAAACTCGACAACAAGAAAGTTCCGGAGGTTTCCGATATATATATATATATATATATATATATATATATATATATATATATATATATATATATCAAAAGATTTACCTCTATTAGCAGTGACACTATAACCTCCATCGTAAAGAGCCGAATTGTTAGAAGCAACATTTGCTGCAGCAGAATCCTCAAACTCTCGAGACGAAGAAAGCCAACTATGATCGGTATAAAACGAGTCACCACCATATAATTTACCAAAATACCCTTCACCAACATTGTTTCCGACAGAATAAAGCCCATCGTTTCTAACATAACCGTTTCTTCCAGCACCATTATTCTCCCTATTCCCGATCCCAAAACCACTATTTCCACTCCCGATTATTCCAGCATTCGCACTCCCGAACCCACCCACATTTCCAAGAAAATCGTTCGAAGCACTCAATAAAGAACCACTGAAGTAAGAACCGCTGAAGTAAGAGTTCGCCCCGTTTCCAAAACCCAAACCCGTATCCCCATTCCCCACACGGGTCGATCCGAACCCAGATTCCAAATTCAGCCCGTAAGGCGGATATCCACTTCGAGTAAACCGATCGGCGAAATTCGATCCATGCACCGGACTGTTATTATTATAAGCGTTGACGAAGCTGCTAACTCTGCTTAAACCATGGTTAACTTTTGGGCCGGGAGACAACTCCTTTGGAACGGCCCTTTTAACCTCTACAGTTTTTCCGTTGAGTTCGTGAAAGGTTTTGAAGAGAACTTTGTCGACTGCTTCTTCCGAATCGTAAGTTATGAAGCCGAACCCTCTTGGCCTTTGCGTGTTGTGGTCGTACATAACTACGACATCTGTTATTGTACCGAATTGATCGAAGTAAGATTTGAAGTCTTTATCGGTGACTGTGGAAGCTAGGCCACCGACGAAGATCTTTCTTGTACGGGCCGGGCCCGGTGACCCGTGGGGCCCGTTTGTGTTTCGGTTGAAGTTTTGGTGGTCGTCTCTTGGAACAGCCTTCTTTGCCTCCACCTAGAATAAATCGGATACAAATTTGTTAACTTTCATGCAATCGAAAAAAATTACGTAAATTTATCGGTGTTTGCTTTGAGTAAAATTCCAAACGACGCGCTTTTGTAGAATCGACTGTTGAAAAAAATTTCAAATTATGTATTCGTAAAAAAATCGAAGGAATTTCAAGAACTTGCACATACACTAAACATCACACTTGCATAGATTCAAGGACTCGAATACATTAATTCCCATCTCAACTGTCGAACGTTTGCATTCGAAACGTACATATAAACAAAAGTAAAACAGAAAAACGAATCACAATACGCCTTCTTTATGAATTCAAGAAAGCATAACATAATCGAAATGCCCTCATTTCAGAATTTTGATCAACAAGACTACACGATCACGTTTCCCGAATATTCGACTAAAAATTCGATAAAATAAAAGTAGAAAACCGACTTACAGTTCTTCCATCTATGATATGCCTCTCCCTCACGACTCGTTCGGAAACAGAAGCATTCGCAAAAACCACAAAACCGAAGCCACGCGCACGACCAGTGGTTCGATCCTTCATTATCACAGCTTCAACTACTTGACCAAATGCTTCGAAATACTCTCTCAAACGCTCTTCGCTCGTTTCCCAAGAAATCCCACCGACAAACAACTTCCCAGCTTCCATTTCCTCCTTTTTTTATCTGCACACACGAATCGCCAATCGACCAACCAACTTCCGGTTACTATATCTAATCCAATGAACCAATACATAAAGAATTATCCATAAAGCAAAATGCCACCAATTACGAAGATACCGAAAAAACGAAAGATCGACTAGCAAGTAAGCTAGATCATCACTAAACTAAATCGGATTACCATAATCAATAAAGAATCATCGATCAAAACTTTAAAAGGAACCCAATCATCGCAAAAACATGATAATGTAGATTGAGTAAAGAAAAAAAAAACAATACCTCAAAGTAAAAAAAAAAATATCACAATAAAAAATGGCGGAAATCTTGTTCAGCAAGGGATAATCCGATCTTCAACGGATCGAAAAATTCAACAGCCTGATAATGCAAAACCCATCACAAAAAAACAATAAAGACTTCAACTTTGACTACAAACAAGCAAAAAAAAAAAGAACAATATATAAATAAATAAATAAATAAAAAATACCCAGAAAAAAGAAAATGGATTCAATTGAAGATCTGAGAGGAAGGCATGGATAGAGAAGCAGAGGGCTGAAGGGCCCTCTTCTCTTCTTCCTCTTTTGCTTGTAATTGCTGCTCTTTTGTTCTTGTTAATTGTTTATTTATAATAAATAAAATAAATAAAAATGGTAAAGATGAAGTATTTATAGTATGTGTTTATGTGAAAGAGAATATAGATAGGCAGTGTGGCCCGTGGGGATTGATTTTCACATCCAAGAATGGGTAAATATGGTGTTCATATTTGCTGCGCAGATACGTTTTTGTGTGTATATATAGTTTTTATATTATTTATATACATTTTCTTTTTCTTTTTCTTTTAGAGAGAGAGAGAGAGCCCTTTGGTTATCCTCTCGTGTAAGAAATGTGGAAGAGGAGAGACAATATAGGGTGTTTTATGAAGTTTTGAAATTTATGTGGGGCCAAAATATAATTAAAGAAGTGGGGTTTTTAATTGTCATATGATCCTCCTATGGGTGGAAATGGAACGGGGTTTTCGAATTTCGACTGTTTCGATTCGGAAATTAATTATTTTAGAACAAGTAATATTATATTAGAACAAGTATACTATTATCGATTTACCGTAATGTATAGGGTTTGAATCATGAACACTAATTTGTAACGAGATTTGAATTTCTTAAAAAAAAAATTGTCACTTTCAAGATTGATGGCAAATCTTCTTCATTGTGTTTTATGGTCATTAAATTACGATTAGTGAATTAATTATATTATATTTGTATTGCACCAAGAAGCTGGATATGGATATATGAACGTGTAGTGCTTATTCACCATGGATTAGTATTTATTAAAGAATTTGCTAATGGATTTTTTTAATTATACTATCGTACTCAATATTTTTTTTATTTTTTTTTTTAAATTTATAATTTTGCGAAAAGTTTAGATTAAATTGTTAAAAGACTCATTAAATTAGTAATATTAGCAAAAATACCCATGTTATATATTTTTATAACACACAACCCTTAATTAATGGTGAGTTTTTAAGAGGTAATTCCCCATTTTTTTACTTTTTTATTTTTAGGGTGTTATATATATTAGATATATATATAGGTAAAAGAAAAATTAAAGTGGGATACGTGTGAAGGACAGAAGGAATCCCATATTTGCTTACTCATCAATCACTTACACATAATGCTTAATGCACATGCAATTAATTATTATCAAGAAATAAAATCACAAAATTTATTTTTAACCTGTCCAATTTATTCCATGTTATACTGATCAATAAATAAAATGTAAATTAAAAAACATAATTAAAAACAAAAAAAGAATTGGTAATTTGATTATGTGATGGTGTACATGTTATGAGTTTTTGAAAAAATCAAAATGTTTGTGGAAGTCAACGCGCTTTATAGCCTCGTGACATAGCAAAAGTTGATTTAGGTGCCCAATATTATTAAAAGCTATATATTATTTATATTGGGAAAATAACAATTTATTTTATTTAAAAGAAATAAAAGAGAAAATATAGGACAAGGTATAGAATTATGATATGGTCCGTGCCCACTTTTATTTCCTAATAAAAGTACTAAAGCATTAGATATTGTTTACATGTATTATTATAATTTTTAATTTTTTTTAATATTATAATGTGAAATATAATAAGATTGGGGATTACTTGTATGTTTCATTATTCTCTTCTTAATATAATAACAAAATCAAGATTATTTATTTGTAACAAATATCATATGCTATTCTTTACATTGAAATTTATAATTATGAATTTGATTCAATAAACAAATATCCTATCTCTCTTTAATTACTATCTCCATGCAGAAGCTGTAACCAAAGCTCTGTTTTTCCATGCAAGATACAAAGCTCCATTCCCCTCCACCACTCTATAATTCCAACTATACCCTCCCAACATAACCCTAATCGAGTCACTAACCGACGAACTCAGTGGCATTTGAGTAAATCCCGCCATAGTCAGCCTCAGTTTCCACTTACCGAAAAGCTCGTGCCTCTCGACTCTATCATCTCCCTCACAAGCTATTATATTCACCACATCCTTCGCCACACAATGCTCCTCCGCATTTATCCTTTGCCTATCTTCCCTCGATCTTGCAGCATCGATCGACTCGAACATGTTCGTGTAGTAATCCAAGGTTTCGTAGAACCTCTGCAAGAAAGTCGAGGTGTTGGTGTTCGATTCTTGCTCCGCCAAAGTCAACACTTTCGGCGACAACCCTTTGACCAAACGCAGTAATCGATCACGTTGATTCAAAGTGCTCACACTCTCGTCCGGTATATGGTGAAGTACGTAGGGAAAACTCACGGCCAAAGCTTCTCCGTTTCGAATTTCAAGATTATTACACAGTTCGACCTCGTTTTCAGACATAGCCGCACCGTTGAATTCGAAGTGGACCCCACAAGATTCAGCCACTTGGGCTAATCTACGGCCCACTAAATCAAGCCCACCTCCTCGAGCGTGGGCAGATTCGGAATCATCAACCCCCGTAATGCGTACACAAGGGGGCCCACCGGGCCGGCAGGAAATATCTTGAATGAAGGACACCCATTGGCTGCCCTGCGCGATTTGGAAATCGATGATGTGGATTCTTTTCTCGTTTTGCATGGCTTCTTCGATGACAACGTTTGCAGAAATGTAGGCGAACTTGTAATAAGGGCAGATCTCGTAGAGCACTTGCATGTACGACATTAATTCGGAGCTCGTCGGTTCTCTGCACTTCAATTTCTTGTAAATTATGCTTCCGGAAGATAATAATCTCGCTCTTAGCCCTTCGAGCATGTACGCACCTAATCTCTGTAAAGGGTCGCCACATACCGAAACCCTTTTTTCTAATATTCGCAATAGAGCTTCGAAAGTTGATACCGCCATTTTTCCATCGGAATACGAGATAGTTTCAGCACAGGCTACGAGCAATTGTTTGAGGTCCATTTGAGGGGCAATTTCCAAGATTCTGTTGAAGGAGGGACTGTGATCGATATCGCATTCGGGCCCCACAACTTCGTAAGTATTGTTATCTGACGAGTGATGGAGTTGTGGAGAGAAGGGGCTTCGATTTGAGGAGATACTTGCAGACGAAGCTGAACTGTGTGTAGCATTGTTGCATGTTGGTGGTGTTGATTCGAGAGTATAGAATTGATTTGAAAAATAATACGGCTTGATTGTCTGATGGTAAGTTTGAGGCTCTTGCATCTCTCAATAAGAGATCGAATTTAACTACTTAGAGCAATCGATTTCGAGCCCGTTTTTCTTTTTTTTTTTCTTTTTACGGGACAGACTTCCACAAGAGCAATTAAATCTGCAATTCGAAAGAATGTAGATTTAGTGCATTTCAACGATAAAATTATCCGTCTGTTAAGTTTACGCGACGAGCGACAGACAAACATAATCGCAACCATAAAACATATCCTAAAAGAACAATTATTCAAACATAATGCAGTAATTAACACAATTGCAGGCTAAAAACAACTATTTCAACACTAATCGCATAAATTACGTATACATACAGCGTACCGTACCTTAAATATAACAGTTATCGACATATCATTATGCGGAAAAGCAACCAAGTATGAAGAATATTGTGAAAAAAATCCAAGTGGCAAAATGTAAATACACAACAAACAGTTGTATCAAATTTACACCAAAATATGAACTCATAAACTCCAATTACAATTAATCAATTATAATAATCAGTGGCAAATAATCCAAAACAAAACACAAATTTTGTAAAAGCACAACACCGCCTCCTCTGAAACAAAACCCCCAAAAATGAGGGTAAATTTAACAGGAAAAAAAATGCAGAAAAAATAAATAAATTCTCAGACCATATGAGAAATTTCGTGTAAAACCCTCACTTTAAACTTCGCAGGTACAATCATTAAGAAAAAAACAAATCGAAATATGTAATGAAATTAAACGTACCTGTGATAGAGAGAGAGAGAGAGAGAGAGAGAGAGGAGAGAGAGAATTTGGATTGGGGGGAGAGAGATGATTTCAGTTATTATATATAGTTGTGGGATTAGTGTGTGCAAAACAGTGAATTAATGTGTGCTTTTTGTTAATGAGGTTGCCTCGTAAATACCCGTTCGGAAAGCGTGTGGACGCGGACCGGAACCCGGACCCGGACCCGGTGCCTAGATGTTTCTTATTCTCACGCACGTGTCAAAGACCGTGGTCAAACCAATTCACTCTAATTGGGCTGAAATGGATTACTTGAGATAAATGAGTTAATTGCCCATTTGTACCATTTCTGGCCCAATTAACAGATAATAATAATAATAATAATAATAATAATAATAATAATAATAATAATTATTATTATAATAATAATTATAATAATAATTATTATTATTATTATTATTATTATTATTATTATTATTATTATTATTATTATTATTATTATTATTATTATTATTATTATTATTATTATTATTATTATTATTATTATTATTATATAGAATTTATATGAATAAAAAAATACCCACATAATTTATAAAAAAATATTATCATATTTTTCTCGCATAATTCATTAGCGTCTCTATTTCATCTTCTCACAAAAATGGTGTTTGACTAAACTTATAAGTTGTTAAAAAGAGCTTATAATATATTTTTTTAAATATTTTAAAAATTCAAAAAATAAGTTGTTGGATAATTTTTAAAATATATTTCTAAAAGTATCTATACTCCACTTTTTTTATTTAAATGGTATACTCGATTGACTAGGCAAAAACCAGAAAATCATTTTTTTTTTCCATTTCCGACGTTTTGGAGTAGCATTAAGTAAATCTTGTCCATTATATATATATTTTGTAGATGATGCACCCGATGAATTATTCAAATATCAATTGCAGTTTATTTAATGATACATACATATCTTTACAAAACACATTAGTATATTACAACACAAACTGGTCTCCCATTGGATACCTCTTTTTCACTTCCTTACAAATACACACACTCACACACAGACTAATATCAATTGCACGCTTTGTCTATTTTATTTAATATTAATAATTTCCATAATGAAATATTAATTAATTAATTAATTAACTAATTAATTAATTGCAGCTTTAATCTCTGCAAGCCACTATCTTCCAACAACACAAAGACAAGAAGAACATGAATTGAGATCGAGGGAGAATGTTTTCTTGTTCTTTTCCAATTATTAAAGGGAATGTCCCTCATTTTATTATTAATTCTTTTTTTTAATTATTATTATTATTACAATTATTATTTGGCCTAATTCAAAACATCCATAATTGTATTATAGTATTATTATAGAGTTCAATTAAAGAATCATAGGCTCCTTTGATTATTCCCACTTCTAATGTTTGGCCTTAAAGAATCATAGGCTACATTCCAATTACCATAACGACACCATAAATAAATAAATCAAGTTTTCAAGACATGTATAATGAACAAGGAGAAAAATGAATTTAAAGTTCTTGAGAGGCAAATTGATTATGTAGAACTTCGTAAATTACCATTAGTAGCATCAAATTGATATCGGGCACAAAGCCAAAACAGAAGTCCTAGATCTACCATCTGACTCACCGAGTTGATTTACAAGCACTCAACTAAGAATTAGCTCACTGAAACAGTCGAAAAATTAACAAAATTCTTTTCTCACTAAGTTTCCCTCGTCACATTCCATCACCGAAGATCCGAGAAGAAAAAGAATGAACAGTGTTACACCTCTCTCTCTCACACAGTCTGCCGCTTTTATAGCATACAAAGCAACGGTCAAAGACAAGAAAGTTGTCTTCGAGTTAATGCCTCCTCGATTAACGTTGAAGAAAGTCGCCAGAAAACGACATGGAAAAAGCATAAGATTTACAAGAGAAGATGAGAGAGAGTAGAGAGAGAAACATTTCAATCGGTCAAGATCAGTCAAACCACTTAAATCGAGCTTAAATTGACTACTAGACCGATCCCAAAATTTTGGGCTCCTCAATTATTGTGTTTCTGAACCGTATTCACATAGTGGAAAATACATGCAAACACTAACAATACTACAATGAATTGTTTGCAAAGAAAAAAAAAGTTACACACTCAAACTTTACGGTGTATTTATCACATAAACACTCACAATATTCGATTTTATCTTGAACCATACTCCAACCTCCGCGCGACGTAATTATTGCTGCCAATAAAATATAATTATTGAAAGGAAGAAAAGGAAAAGTTTCATGATAATTAAAGAAGCATTATCTTCTTGCAAATCAAAGCTAAAAAAAAAAAAATTGGGGCCTTTGAGAATAATATGACAAAGCAATGACCACAAAAAAAAAAAAAAAAAAAAAAGCAACAAAATTATTCCTCCAAACACACCCTTCCATGTGCTTGTTTTAAGTATTTAACCTATAAACTTCGTACTTTGCAAGATAGTCCTCTCGTCGTTTTCCTCTTGTACTCAACTCCTTTTTCGCCGATTCTTCTCTTTAAATTAATCAATTAATTAAAATTTATGTCACACTTTCTATATATAAATGTAACCAGAAACTTAGCCATGCAGCTTAATAATACTTGTGGTATATTAATTATAAGAAAAAAATGGTGAAGGAAGCAGATCAATACGGTGCTGTTTCCTCGATTGCTTTGCTTCGAAAGAGATTCCGACAAATCGAGAAAACGAAGGAGTTGAGACAAGGGAAACAGTTTCTGCAAATGCTGTCCGACGAAAGAAAGAGAGAGAGAATGTTTCTTTCTGAATATTACAACATCTGCCAGCTCTCTCTCTCTCTTGGCCGCCTGCCGCCGGAGGAACGTTGTTTGCTGACCAAGCAACGGGCCCCACACGCACCACCGCCACCGAAGAAGAATATTCCGTTGTTGTTCGATGATAATGATGCAGCCCGATTTTGTACTTCACTAGTCAAGATTGAAACTTGTAATAGTTCCGTTCAGTGTTCGGATATCGATACTTCCCTCCATCTGTGAAAACTAAACGCCGTTTTTCAAATCGATCCGGCCATTTTGTTTCTTTGTTTAGTATCATCAGTTATATATAATTTAGTTATAGCCTATAGGTGATCATGACTTATATTTCTCTTTCAACATTTATTTTGCCAGAATTTCGCATTATCAATCATCAAGGCACGAGTTTTAACAAATTTTGAATCAGAAAATTGGGGATTTGGGTGCAAAATTGCGTATATACGCTAAAAGGACAAAAATACCCTTTAAGTTGACGAGACATGAAAAATACGCTGAGAAAGTCCTATTTAGGGTAAAGTGCAACTATAACGAAATTTGGAGGCGGAAAATCTAATTTGTAAATTTGTAGGAGTGAAAGTGCAAAAACTAGAAATTTCCAGGGGCAAACTGCATTTTGCCCGGAAATAAAATACTAGGGAGTCAACGGAACAAAAGTCAGACACGAGGGAAATAAGAACGTTGCCGGGAAGTGGGCCCCACCAACCATCTGCAGACGACCGTCAACACGCTAATCCGGTTACCGTATATAGTCTCTACTTTCCTATTTGTCTCACTCTTCGACGGGTCAAACAAGTAAACCAGACGGAGGACTTGTACACGAGATTCCCCCAAATCCTCTCAATTAGGGTTTCTAACGGGGGTGAAAATTGGGTCAATTTTACGTGATTTTGAATCAATTCCGCCAGATTACACTTTGTCCCAGGTAAGAAGTATGCATCTGTTTCATATCTCTGTTAGTAATTATTTTCCTCCTTCTTTTTGCTGCTGCGTAGTATCAGTTCACTTGGTTTAGATCTCGTTCGCGATGCTATTGCGTGTTTGTTATGGTTTTAGTGGACTCGTTTATCTGCTTCTTTGATCTTCGTTCGTTTAAATTTATTGAATTGAACATTCAGTTTTTTCATTTCTTCTGTTTTCGTGTCTGCTTTGGTTGTTCCTGTTTCCTGAGTTGAAGCCTGGTATATGCTTGATTGCTTGTTGAAATTAGATGGTCAGAAATGTTTGTTTTTCTCTTTGGTCCCCAATTTTGACTTTTTTTTGAAGTTTCAAACCCCAATTTTGACTTTTTCCCCCCTGATGTAGGCAGGATTCTGCAAAAGCCCGAAAAGGTCTCATGAAATTACCTGAATGATTCTTTTTAAAAATACAAATCTCGTTTTTTTTTTTTGCATATTAGGCTGTTTACTTCGTTTGATTTCTATTTTGAAATAAGTATTTCCAATTTCATGGCGTTTCCACCTTCAGTAGAGAGGTTGCTGAGTGAAATTTACCTTTTTGCCCCTCCAGATTATAGAGGGCAATCTTGGATGGGAACACCATCTGGATCTCATTTCAATAGTCAATCCTCAATGCTGCCGCCTCGTCAACAGCCACGCCCTGGAGGCAGGGGGCTACAAACCTCCCTCTCCTTGGTCTCACCCGATGCATGTGGGTCCCCAAATCCCGAACGTGGCTCCAATTCTGACCACGTACGCGAATCCCCAACCGAAAGTGCTAGTTCACGAGAAACCTGGCCCACAGCCGATGCTTTGATAGCAAAGAAACTCGAGAAGGAAAAAGACATGGAGAATAATTATGCCGAGCACTCTGTTGTCAGGCATTTTTCGAGTTCGGATAAGATGTCCCTTCAAGATGTAGCTAGAGAGAGAGTGGAAGTTATAGCAGAACGTATGCAGAATCTTCCGGATAAGTACCTGGACAAGTTCAAGAACGAACTCCGCTCGTTTCTTGAAGGGTTAGGTGGTTCTCAACAAAGAGAAGAGTTCCTTTTTTTACAGAAGGTGGTCCAAAGTCGAGGCGATTTGACCGAAAAAACACTAACAATGGCGCACAGGATTCAGCTAGAAATTCTAGTTGCTATGAAGACTGGAATTCAAGCTTTTTTGCATCCAAGTGTTAGCCTCTCTCAAGCTTCACTTATCGATATTTTCTTGTACAAACGATGCAGAAACATAGCGTGCGGAAACGCATTGCCTGCAGAGGAGTGTACATGTGATTTGTGCTCGAAGAGGAACGGTTTTTGCAACCTATGCATGTGTGCGATATGCAACAAGTTTGATTTTGAGGTTAACACGTGCCGTTGGATTGGGTGTGATTTGTGTTCACACTGGACTCACACGGATTGTGCTATTCGAAACGGGCAGATTGGAATGGGTCCGTGTGTTAAAAACGGTTCCAGCTCAGCGGAGATGCTTTTTAGATGCCGAGCTTGCAGTAGGACTTCTGAGTTGGTTGGGTGGGTGAAGGATGTGTTCCAACACTGTGCACCGAGTTGGGATAGAGATGCTTTGATTCGAGAACTCGATTTTGTGAGTAGAATATTCCGTGGGAGTGAAGATCCGAGAGGCAGGGAATTGTTCTGGAAGTGTGAGGAGCTTATCGAGAAATTGAAAAACGGGGTTGCCGAACCTATGGCTTGTAAATTGATCTTATTGTTCTTTCAAGGTTAGCTTTATTCACGATGCTATACTATCATATGCTTAAAGGTGGGATTGGAACGTAATTTTTTTAATTTCGCCGATTCCGATCTGAATATTTCTGATTTCGGAACAACAATTTTCATTCTGAATTCCAAAAGTTCGGATTTCTGATTTTTCATTTTTTTTGAATGGAATTGGAATAAGTATTAAATTCCGATTTCCGATCCGATTATAATTTCCTAAAATATTTTTAAAATTCCAATTTATGTCCGAAAACACTATTATGTATGTTATATTTGTAGGAGAATTAAAAACATGGAAATTCTGATTCGAAAATTTCGATTTTGGAACAAGATTTTCCATTCCAATTTCGGAAGTTCCGATTTCCGAATCTTTTATGAACGGAATTGAAATTAGTTCCTATTTTTACCCTATGTCCATTTTAATTTATTTTCCGAGGTACTGTGTGTCTTCTTTTGAGTAATGAGAGGAACACATGCGATGTACATATAAAAGTTCTGGAAATGATTTCACCACTTTAGCTCATGTTGTGCATTACTTATTTCAAGTTTCTTGATGTGTAGATTCGGTTATCCAATCTTATTACGTTAATGCATCCAGTTCCTATCCATTTCCATCTTCCTAAAAAAATCTCGAATTCAATTCTTGTTTTCAGAACTCGAGGCGGACCCCACAAAGAATCAAGAAACCGAAGAAGGCCGAACAATATCCCCACAAGAAGCATTCAATAAAATAGCCGATGTAGTCCAAGAAGCCGTCAGAAAGATGGAAACTGTAGCAGACGAGAAGATGCGAATGGTTAAAAAGGCCCGTTTGGCTGTAGAGGGGTGCGAGCAAGAACTCAAAGACAAAGCTAGAGAAGTTGCTGCACTCAAAATGGATAGGCAGAGAAAGAAGGTACAAATAGACGAGCTCGAAAGCATTGTTAGGCTTAAACAAGCAGAGGCAGACATGTTCGAACTGAAGGCAAACGAAGCCCGAAGAGAAGCTGAGAGATTGCAAAGAATTTCACTTGCGAAAACGGAGAAATCGGAAGAGGATTACGCGAGCAGGTATTTGAAGCAGCGATTGCACGAAGCTGAAGCGGAGAAGCAGTATTTGTTCGAAAAGATTAAGCTGCAGGAGAGTTTGAGCAAGCCTGTGCAGAGCGGTGCTGGAACGAGCGAGCCTTCTCATTCGATGTATAATAAAATACAGGACCTGCTCAAGAATATGTATAATACCCCTTCGAAGGGTGAGGGGCAATCGAACGACCTTCATTCTCACGGTGCTATGTGAATTAGACTTCTTTTTTAATTATGTGACTTGGAATGCGAATTTTACTCCGTGATTTGAATTATTTATGTTTTTTTTTGGGTGCTAATTTCTTGTAGTGTAGGGAAACGAGTTCATGAACTGATGTTGCAGAAACGTGTAATTTGTGTGCTTGTAACTGTAAAATCCAATTTGTCTTCTGTTTAGATGCTATTTTGTTAGTCATTTGATTCTATATGCCCTGTTTGCCAAAGGTTTTACCCTGGTAATAAACCAGTGTCAAACATGTCAGAGAAATCAAGAAGTTTGCATTATTTTATATATGTTTCTTTTCATTGAATAACAATTAGGAGATTTGCAGCACAATTTCTCATTTATTTTTTTCCTGTCTGCCATCATTAGGACACTGGTTACCAATCTTGTTGGGGAAAAAACCAAAAATCCAGTTAGATAACACCACCAATTTGTACTTTGTTTATTACCAAGATTTGTTTTCTTTAAGGATAAAACTGGGATTTCAAAGTAGATCAAATCTCAACTTGTCCTTCCTAGCAGATCTCACTTAAGATTCTTTCTTTCTCCAAAGAGGGCTATAACAAGTAGCAGTTCTTGCAAAAGCTTCAATAATCGAGCAATGTCGATAATCTCGGTCAAGATTCTACTCGTCTCAATCCTTCTTCTGTCAATCCCACACGACACAGGTAAGCATTCCCATTCATTATTACATCTTATGTTCTTGTTCTTTAAATTTTTAATGATTTTTTTTCCCAGATGCACAGTTTGAGGACTACTGTATAGCAGATGAGCAAGCTACAGAAGATCACTGATAGGCACTATAAACTGGGCTTGCGGTAACGGTGCTAACTGCACTGCCATTCAAGAAAATCAAATGTGCTTTTTCCCAAACACGACTTTAGACCACGCCTCTTATGCTTTCAATAGCTACTATCAGAATATGAAGCACAATGGAGCTAGCTGCTACTTCACTGCTGCTGCTGTTTTAACCGCTCTCGATCCAAGTAAGATCGATTCTTTTTTAATTTTTATTTTATTTTCTTGAATTAATAATAGATAAAAATTCAATCTTTTGGTAATAAAAATTCAATCTTTAATGATTGCAGGCCATGGTTCGTGCAAGTTTGAGTATCTTCCATGAAAAGGCATCTTTTTTTCTCAACATAATCAAGAATCTTTGTAGGAATAATTTTCTTGAGTTTTTGCATTGCTCTTTGTATTTTGTTTCTATTATTATTATTATTGAATGAGGTGTGATGAACTGGTAATATTTTATATTAATTCAATCTGAGCTACCATTATTTAGTGTCTGTGCAATGCATGCAGCAGAAGTGTACATTAGTTCAAGATAAAGAGATAAAAAAGATAAGGAAAGCTCTACTCTTATCACCTTGTAAGAAGTGACATGGGCCTCATTCATCAATCATTAATTCAATCATAAGTGCAAACAAAATTTGTCCTACAACATTAAAAACGTTATTTAATTGGTAAGAAAAAAAAAAAAAAAAAAAACAGTCTTGATTTCTCTCTCCCATGTCTATTGGCACGTTGTAGAAGAAAGGAATGGGGGGAATCAGAAACTCCACACCCTTCTTTAAATGAAAAATCAGAGAAAAACAGAATCAAAATTGAAAGCCCTAGTCCTTATCTCTCTCTCTCTATCTCCACTTTCTCTCTCTATTTCTTGAAACAAGAAACAGTTGCCACTTCCCAGAAAGAAAAAAAAAACAAAGTCCAAAATCTTAGGCCCTTTCTTCTTCTTCTTCAATGCTGTGTTACAGATGTCAGTTTACCCCTCATTCATTTCTAGATTAGCCCCCACATTTAATGCTGAGGTACCCATCTCTACTTCATAAATTCATACTAATAATTAATTAAATAATTGTTTATATAGTGGGATAGTGGGGCACATCAATTTATTAACTTTCTTGAATAGCAAAAAATAATCTTTTTTTTTTTTTTAATTTATATTTTGTTTTGTCAGTCTATATAAAGGGTCGAAAGTTTAGTAGGTAGGTGGAATTTGTGTTTCATTAGTGTTTTTTTTTTTTGTCTCTTCTTGATTAAGTTGATAGTGTGTTCAAACACATAGTTGGTAGTGTACTAGGTTGTAATAAGATGAGTTATCTTGGTGTAGGTGTGAGCCCAGGTAATGTTGCTGTGTACCACCATGGGAGTAATTTGAAGGTTATTGACAAAAGAGTTAGGCTTACAGAAGTTGTACTAAGGTGTTTGATTTGTGGTTTAGCTCTTCTTTCTGCTCTTCTTATTGGTACAGATGTTCAGGTTAAAGAGATTTTCACTATTCAGAAAAAAGCTCAGTTCACAAACATGAAAGCCCTTGTGTTAGTAATTTTTGTTTTTTTTTTTTTATTTTTTTTAATTGAAATATGTTATTTTTTATTTTAATTTTTTGGAAATTTTTTTTTGCAGATTCTTGGTTGTGGCTAATGGGATAACTGCAGCTTACTCATTAGCACAGGTTTTGAGGTGTGTGCTAAGTATGATTAGAGGAAGAGTGCTGTTTAACAAGCCTTTTGCTTGGGCGATTTTCGCCGGTGATCAGGTTTGTGGCGATTAGATACGTATTTTTATTCGATAATTTAGGAAGCTCAGCTCGTGCTCGAGCTCGATTCGGGTCGACTCGAACAAAAAATATAGATAATATAAGAAGAAAAATCGAGCTACTCGAGCTTCATTGAGCTTGACTAAAAAAACGAAATAAATTAAAGCTCGATGAAAATTCAAGAAATAGTGAATATTTTATGCGTTTGCCTCTACTAGTAACATTTACACCTCTATTTGTTTCTCTTGAAGATGATCCCTTTCAAGCATTTTGAACCTCTCTTGAATATGTATTTAATTCAATATGATATGAAATTCAGCTTGAGCTCGATTCGGCTCGACTCAAACAAAAATGATTTTAAAAAAAAGATCAAAGATAATTAAAAAAAAAAAAAAGAAGATTGAATATTTTACGCGTTTGGCTCTACTCGATTCGTTTCTTTTGAAGATGATCTCTTTCAATTCTTCATTTATACATTTGCTATGTGGATTCCTCAATTATCTATTGCTTTATGATTCCATGAATATGCTAATCACGTTGAACTCTAATCGCTCGTTTTATTGAATCTTCGTTGATCGTTTTTAGGTAATGGCCTACTTGACCTTGGCGGCAGTGGCGGCAGCTGCACAGTCAGCGGTGCTGGCCAAGCTAGGTCAAACGGCGTTGCAATGGATGAGCATTTGCAATATTTACGGCAAATTTTGCAACCAAATCGGTGAGGGTATTGCCAGTGGACTGCTCGTGAGTCTTTCGATGATCGTTTTATCGGCTATTTCGGCTTTTAGTCTCTTCCGTTTGTACGGAGACAATAATCGAAAGAGCAACGGAAGATGGTGAAAAAAGACATGTTTTATTTCATATTAAGTAGTTGTCCCATGTACTAGTTTTGTTGTAATTTTTTTTTTATAGAGTTTTATTGTAATAATAATAACATAAATACTAGAAGTATAAATAAAATAAGTATTTGGAAATTCCAATTTCCAAATACATTTATGGTTTCCAAAACCTAAATAGTTCTTCAGGAACATAACAAATAAACGACGAGTAAACTGCAAAAAGTACGTCTGTGTAATCTTCAAATAGTAAAAATTCCCCTATGATAAATAAACTAGCAAAACCCCTCTGATTGACTTTCGTGTGGCTCACTCGCTGAATGTGCGGTCAAGAGTTGATTTTTAGACGTGAAATGACGAAATTGTCCCCCAAAGTGTGTGTGTGTGTATATATATATATATATATATATATATATATATATACTTTGGATTATCAAATCCATAAACCACCTTTTGTATATTCCAAAATTAAAAAGATTTACTCCAATGGGAGTATTAAAATGGGTAAGTATTTTGATATTCTATCACTTTCGTGTAAAAATACATCTTGAAAATTGAGTTATCATAAAAATAACCACCTAAACATCCAATCACAAAATGACACGTGGTAATTACAAATAAAACCACTAAAAAACTTCCACAGGCCCAGTTTTTATTAATACAATTGTTAATAATAATATCGTGGTTGTAAATCCTCCTCGCAAGACAGGACTAAAATCGTTGTTTTATTTATGCATAATATAAAATATTATATATTTTGAAAAAAAAAATAGAATAATCGAAACTAAAATTGAATTAGAAAAACCAGAAATTTTATATACAATTTCAGTTACTTACCAAAAAAATAAAATGAAAAATCAGAATTTTGAAAACTGGAATTGAAGAAAACGGTTTAAATTCGGAAATGTTCGAATTGAAATCGAAGGAATTCTAACATTCCCTTTTGATTTTTTCACGGGCTTGACTTTGGTATCTAATTTGCCTTTTAATCATAATGGGCATTGTCAATTTGGATCAAGTTTATTTGTGTTTTATCAAACTTTGGTCCAGTAAATATTTAAGAGCATAACATAAAAGCCCGGAATCATAATAATGAAATATATTTTTCGTAAGAAAACTAGTAATCATCCCGTGCGATTAAGTGTTATGACATTTTACCAAATTATCCAAATATTTACGCGATCTCATGCATGATTATCCCCTTCTTTGTCTTAGATAATACGGTCTTCTTTTGTCTTAGATTTCATTCTAGGAGAGCAAAATAAACTACAAACTTTTACCGAAAATCCTATACTCAGATCATTCACAATCAATGTCCATAAATCCTCAATTACTCATTCATCATATAACTAGATCGGCTCTTTAACTCTTGTCTCGAGTACTATGGTATGCCAATCGAACAAGATGGAGAAAAAAAATGCCAAAAGTGGTAGTTACTATTATTTCATCCATCCTAATAACCAACTAATTAATTAGTCAATAAAAGAAACAATTCAGATCCAAAATACAAGTTGCATGAATTCGTAGCAGATTGATCAGTGATAAGGGAATCTGTTTAAAAAATCAGGTTTTTATTTTTTCATGCTTCCAAGACAAGAGACAGCAACAAGAGAATCAAGGAAGTGGTGGATGCGAGTCTTGCCAGCTTTAATAGAAAATCTCAGTATAAGAAATCCTGCAACGAGACGGATGATTAGCATTAGACGGAAATCTCAGTAAAAGAAATTCTGCAACGAGAGTTTGGGACATTTGTTTCATCCAGAATAGTTGTGACCGGTCTAAGTTCTTCCGGAATATTACTGACCCTCAGATTGGGGCACGCATCGATTTCCAATCTTTCAAGGTTTGGCAATCCGCCTTGTTCAACTTGTAAAACTCGCAGATCGCGCATCCATAACAGCCATAAGACTTTGAGCTTTGGGAACCCATAGGCAGGTATCATCAATTCTTCTCTTCTATACGCCTCGAGTGTTAGAGTGCGTTTGGATGGAAGGATTTGGGGAGGGATTTGATTTGGGGAAGGGATTTGAAATGACTCCAATTTTGGAGTCATTTGAAATCCACCTCAATTGCTCAAAACATAACTAAAAAGGAGGGGTGTGGATTTGAAATCCATCCTCAAATCCCTCAATCCAAACAAGTCCAAGGGATTTGTTATTATGGATTTGAAATCCCTTCCCCAAATCCTTCCATCCAAATGCACCCTTAAAGTTTGAGCCCAATGAAATGATCTTTGAGTGTGAAACACGTGGAATTGTTTTTAACTTTCCTATTTTTCTAACTAAATTTTAATTATTAAATAAGTAGTGCTTAGTGGGTTAAGTATAGTAGTTAGTGGGTTAAGTAGTGCTTAAGTGGGTTTAATTGTGAATATTATTCTAACTCCTTAAACTAACCCACTAACCCATTTTCTTGAGTGCTCTTGTGGTTGGTTTTCTTGCAGATCATGGGCTGAGTAGTGGAAGCTTGGAATGTCTATAAATACCGACTTCAAGACTCAAGGAAATTAATCGATTCTATGAAATAAAAACCGAGGGCTGAAGAATATTCACGAGTGTTTTAGAGTGGTTTTAGAATCGGTCGTTTGTACTCCTCATGAGTACAATCTTTACGTACTCCTTATGAGTACATTCTTTACGTACTTCTCATAAGTACATTCTTTGTAGTCTAGATTGTTTAGTATATATGTTTCTAGACTTGGTTGTAAGAATGATCAAGATAGTGATTCATTCATAAGTTCTGTACGTACTCCTCACGAGTACATCTTTGAAATCTAGAATTTTTAATATTTTTCTTTTAGTATCTAGATTTGATTGTAAGAATGATCTTGAAAAAGATTCATTCATAAGGAAGAAGTTTTCGCACCTCTTCTGTTTGTATTCTTGGAATACTGATTTTAATATATTTTTCCGTCCTGTAAAGGGCAAGTTCACAAGTCTTTACTTGTGAACATTTTTAATTCTGAGTACTGTCTTTTAATCTTTATATTTCCGCTGCATGTTGTCTCAAGTGTCACAACATTTCAGATAACACCTCTGTATAATACGAATTCGGGACCATAAATTATTTCAATTGGCATCAAGAGCCAACACTTGACGTATACTAAGTGTTTGTTCCTATTTTCTTTACAGAAACGAATTCGTGATGGATACTCAGATGACTGCTTCTATGCGACCTCCTGTACTTGATGGCACGAACTACACCTACTGGAAAGTCAAGATGAGGGCGTACATCAAAGCCATTGATGAGAGAGCATGGAGATCTATTCTCACTGGATGGAAGCCACCAACTATCACAGATGTGGACGGAGATGTTTTTCCAACTCCAGAATTACGGTGGACACCAGACGATCTATCAAATGCTAACCAAAACTCAAAGGCGTTAAATGCAATTTTCAATTCAGTAGATTTAACAATGTTTAAATTAATCTCTGTATGCACTTCTGCAAAGGATGCTTGGGAAATTCTTCAGCTACATTGTGAGGGATCAGATAGTGTCAAAAGAACCAAGCTCAGATTACTCTCTTCCAAATTTGAGAGACTGAGAATGGAGGAAACTGAAACAATCTCTCAGTATAATGAGAAGCTGATTGACTTGGCTAATGAATTTCAATCCTTAGGTGGTCCTTTGAGCAACGAGACACTAGTGAATAAGGTATTGAGAACTCTTCCAGAAAGGTTCAGCATGACGGTTACTGCTATTGAGGAGGCTAAAGATACATCATCTCTACGGCTGGACGAATTAATAGGAAGTCTCAAGTCCAGAGAGATGAACTTCGAAGATCAAAGAAAGGAGAAAGGAAAGGCTATCTCAAATGCACTCCAGGCAGAATTAGAGAAGGAAGATGTTGCTCCGGAATATGATGATGATGCAGAAGAATGCCTCAACAATGTGGCATCTCAGATTCAGAAATTCAATAGGGCGTACAGACGAAGTGGAATCAAGCCCAGGCAGTTATTTTCAGAAGGGTCTCCACAAAATCGACAAACTCAGCCCCGGAACAGATCTATTCCACAGAGAACATTTCCTCAAACACCTTCTCAAAACAATTTAAAAAATTCTTCTTTTATTCGTTCAAATTCTGAACCACCTAACTTGGATCATATTAAATGCAGGGCCTGTTCAGGATTTGGACATTATGCTAATGAATGTGCAAATACCTTGAGAAGGAGAGGAATGAGTTTGATTTGTGCTGTCAGTGATGAGGAGGAAGAACAACCTGAACAGACAGAGGAACAGCAATCCTCTAAACAAGCTCTTTCTGCCAGATATCTTACTGGAAGTTCCACTGAAACAGAATCCCAAGGAGTCTCCCTGGATGCTGCAACACTTTCTGAAACACTTTCAATTTGTGAGTTAAATACTGATCATTATACATGTTTAAACTCTATTTCTGTGAATGCAGCAGAATCTAGTAATGAAGCAGTCAGTGATGATGAAGAAATGTGTAAGAAGCTGATCAGAAACTTGGAGAAGAAGACTCAAGCTCTAGATGCAACCAACAAGGAAAATCCTTCTCTCAAAGAAACAATCACTCATTTGGAGGTTGGTATCACCAAGAAGGATCTTGAACTGGCAAAGGTGAAAGATGAACTCAAAGAAGCGACTCTAGCAATCAAGAGGATGAATACCGACACAATTAAACTCAAAGAGATTGTGTCACTGGAGAAGTACAACAAAAATGAAGGTCTAGGATTCAAAAACCAAGTGAAGAAACACAAGCCAGTAAAGAAGAAGGAGAATGTCTTTGTAAAAGAGAAGGGTTCAAATGGAAAAGAATGCAGAAATTCCACAGTCACCACTTCAGAGTCCAGAATAAGGGGATACATTTGTCATGACTGTTTCTCACCAGGACATACCCGTCCATTGTGTGAGAAACTAAGTAGTGACAAAATGTTGTACAGGATGAGTCACAACACTCTAGGGAACACCTCCAAGAAAAAGGTAGAATTTACCAAAAAGGAGTGTAGAATATGGACTCCCAAAGGTAAACTTATGTGCAAAGCAATATACACCTCTTTAAATGCTAACATTTCAGGTTCATGGTACTTTGATAGTGGATGCTCTAGGCACATGACTGGAACTAAAGAGTTTCTATCAAACTACCATACACTCAATGGAGGACGTGTAACCTATGGAGGAAGAGCTAAAGGCAAAGTGGTTGGACGAGGAACACTCAGTATTGAGGGACTTCCAAAACTTTCAAATATCCTACATGTTGAAGGATTGGGATCAAACCTCATCAGTATCAGTCAATTGTGTGATGATGATCTACGTGTAGAATTTGATAAATACTGTTGTTCTGTGTTTGATAATCAAAATCATTGTGTACTTACAGGTTCCA